CACCACACACACACACACACACACCTCCTACGATACCAAACTATTCTCAAAAAGAAAAGCTCGCTAATTTACACCCACACATCTCCAAACCCTCAACACAAAATCAGTTAGATAATGAGTGTAAAGTGTACTAATACACACTAATGCACCCACGGAACGTATTAATACACACTGAAATTAAGAACAAGTTATTATCCAAAACACCAACTCCTACTGCCGCACATGCCAACCGCACACAGGCACACTTCCTGCTGCCCACATTTCATGAGATGGCTATGACATTTGAGAATGACCAGAAATAAAAAGTCCCTTAAACCTATTGGTGCCATCAATAAAAGATGTATTAATTAAACATCATAAATGTGACTCAAGCGTCTTTAAAGTCCACTCTACGACAAACACACATCATATATTAAAGACAGGGTTGGTCATTTTAGAAAACTAGCATGATTTTAAAAGTAGCATTCCCTCAGTGCTCCGTCTCCGTCTTTCTGTCAGGACCTAAAGACAATTTCAACCAAAATCTTAAAAAGTGGATCTGGAGAAAATTACCAAACCCTGCCTTTAATTTCTGCTTTTAGCGAGACAATAACACCTGTGCTCATCGTGATGGTGAAAGTGGTGAAACGGTTTAGCCTCGGGGAGTTGAAATGGTTTTCTCCCCTGAGCAGTTACCTTGCTGTTTCATCATCATGGGATGATAGACAGGAAACAAGTCATAATTCAGAGACAGCTTCCAAGACTGCCATTGTTTCATTTACTCACTGTTTCGCTCACATTATTTGCTGTAGCATTTTATCTTGTGACCTTTAGCAGCTGTTGAACACCCTCATTACAAAAATCTGCAAGAGATGAACAAACATGAAGCATCAGGAGGACGGCGGCCCCGATGCTAACGATGAGCTTACTGAGAGATAAATCCTCCAAGCCACAGAAAAAAAAAAGCAGGAGTGCTTTTTCAGTGCATTAACTTCTGAATGATTATCTGCGAGTTCCTCTTTAATGTAGAAAAGATTTGTGAGTTTGAAGGATAATTGTGCTGAGAATAAAAACCTGAAAAAATCTTCACCCTGTTGCCATGGAGTTTATTTTTAAACGGTTATGCAATCTATGTATTATTTTTTTTTTTAACCATGGATGAAGCCATGTGCTAATTAGCTGTGGATAACGACATGACTGAGTAAATGTTAATTAGCAGGCAGTTCGAGGTGCTGGCTCCTCGAAGCTTACTGACAGGGTTTAATGATCGAGCTTATGTGGGGTTTATTTTTTTTATTTATTTTTTTAGTTATTTCCATAATTGTTTTTCTGTACCAGTGAGAAAGGAATGGAGATGAATGAAGAACAGAAAGTTCTCCAGAGAGAAACCTGCCTGGGTAATGAGGAACTGCTGGTCTCCATGGTTACTTAACTTACAAATGCAATAGTGTGGGGGAGTATGCTTGCATGAGGCTCAATCGATTAAACGCTGGCATAGAGAGGAACAGAAGGGAGGGTGTGAACGAGGTTCTGTTAAAGTGTATTTAAAGGTCTTCAGACATTCAGAGTAGAGAAGTTAAGGAACACTTCGTTTTTGTTTTGTTCCAACTTCCCGAAAGACACAATACAAAATATCACCTGGAGATCTCGTTTGAGTTGGAAATGGTTATTTGTCTCTGTAGACGTTTTCACATCTGCACTCTTGAAAATATCTAGATCACTTCTCACAGCAGGAGACTATCCCTATCAGGCAGAGGCTGAAATGAGGGATTCAACTGATGCCAGAATCAGATAAGTTAAGCTGCATATCCTGCAAAGCTGCTCTTCAGGTTTCACAGACAGACATCATTGTCAGAAAAACGGGAAAGTGGGACAAAGGTGCAGACCCAAGGGTGTCTTAAAGTTATCCAAGAAGGATAACCACAAAAATGGCAAGCGCTAGATTTGGAGGGGGGGGGGATGAAATAGTATAGAGCCAAAACACCCTTCTAACTAATGCACCGAAAATTATTAACTAAACCACTGACTCGAAACTAAATAGTCCGGGAGACCCAGAAACAATTCACAGTAAAAGTAAAAGTAAAAGCTGCCAGGGAGGCCTTAAAACTCTACACAAAAGGCTGGGGTATATCAACTACCCAGCACCCCAAGTTATTTTAGCAATAGACACAAATACACAGAAAGTTATTTGTTTGCATTTATGAACACACAGACAACAAGAGACACCACAGGGAGAACCTCTCACTACCTCTGAAGGTGAGATAATGAGTCAGCACAGCACTGGATTCCAGGAGTATATATAAGCTCCCCACACCTGGCTTTAATCAAGGCCAATCAGCCACAAACACACCTGACTCTGCACTGAGGTGATTCATTCACCAACCCCAGTGAGAAGCCAGAGAGTGTGTCCTTACACAACATGAAGGTCATCACAAGGAGGAGATGGGATCATTAAGCATTCCAGTGTTACTCTGTCCTATTTGAAACCTGTTTCACATCAACTTGGGTTCATATCTAACCCTGCCTATTACAAAAATAGTGAATCCAAAGAAAAGCTATGAGCATCACATGTGTGTCGAGTTACCTGGTCAATGTAGAAGGCCGTCCCTGAGCGGATCTCTCTCCTCTGTTTCAGGTCGGTCTCGGTGGTGTCCCGGGACAGAGCCACATATTCTACCTCCCGTTTGGTCAACTCCTGCTCGACAACAAGGGAGACACTTGGATTTAAAAAGCAGTGCTCCAGATACTCATGGAAAAGTTCCCTCTAGAGCAGGGGATGTCAAACATACTGAAGGATAAATTCAAGTCTGTTGGTTTGTCTCGATTAACTAGTTAAAGCTGACAAAACTTGTAGTTGAGTCTATCACAGACTTAGGAATACTTCTGAACAGGTTTTTTTTACATGCCATCCCTTCACTATCGTCTGTGTGTGAACTTACGAGGTACTGCATGGCTATGGATCGTCTCAGGGGTCCTGGTGGACCAATGAGGAACACATCCTGTCCCAAAAGATCCTTCTGCATAATCCATCTCAGGTGCTGGGCTACTGTCTGCGGCAGGGAGTCTGAAACTAGGAAACCAATAAACAATTCAGTTCCAGTAACTTTCTGATGTACTTCCTCTTACGTCCTGGTGAAATATATTTTGTACAAACATTTTCACATTCATAGAAAACATACATACTGTGTTTGACAGGAACGAGCTCTGGGTTCTTGGGTGTCTTGAGCTTGTAAGAGATTTCTCCGATCTTCACTGTGTCACCTGCAACAATCAGGACACATGAAAAGGTCTCTAAAGATAAGAAGTGTTATCCTCAAAGCAGGCAGCTGGTTATCTAACTTTTATTGGCTTTAGATACTGGAGACATTCGACACAGTAACAATATTAAAAATACAGGTGTCAAAGAATCACCTCTGGAAAGATTTTGCCAAAATGAAAAGACAGAAATAGGCATATGAATTGTATCTTTTTATTTACATACTTTATTAATCCCTGAGCGAAATACTGAGAGACATGCTTCTCACACACACACACACACACACATAGGCCTGAATCACACACATGCACAAACAGGACCTGTGGACATGCATTCATGGAGAAATGTCAGAGTGGGGATGCTACACACCGCTAACCTGGGAGCGCAGTTTGGGGTTCTGTAACTTGCTCAGGGGCATCTCTGCAGAGTTGTTTTCTATGTTTTTATGAAATATCTTTGAATCAGAGAATCCCATGCATGTATTACCTCATTTCTTTTTCTTTTTTTTTTTGGAAGGTTCTATGAAGATTAAAGATAGGATAGGATAGGATAGTAGTACTTTGTTGATCCCCAGAGGGGAAATTCAAGTAAGGTCATACCAAATACAAATTAAACAGAATAGATTAGATAAGATAAATAAAAATAGGGGGTATATACAAGTACAAAATGAATGATGACGTTAATTATGCAGGGAATTGAGACAGTATGTGCAGGGAATGGCAAGATAAAGTGACAAGTGATGATTAAAGTGACTTGGTATGATAAATAGCAGCAAGTAATGTAAACAGCAGAGAAGAGAGGCAGTGTTGTACCACAGTAATGCAGAGTGCAGTTATATAATATAATGTAGTATAATGTAATATACTATAGTGCAATATGAACAATATAGTGTAATATAATGAAATGTAATATAATATATACTAATATAATAAAATATATATAATAAGAATGTACAGTATATATATTGATGCTAAACAATAATAATAATGATACAATAATACAATGTTAGTAATGATAATAATAATAATGAAACAGGTCATGTGGGTAGTGTTTAATGGGGATTAAGTTTTGTGTCAAGGACTGACTGTTATTGTTGTCAATCCAGATAAATTGATGGTTTTGGCCTCACAGGGTTAAACTCACACTCTGTAGCACCACATGGCCAACACAACCATTACAAGTGTTACAAGCAGGGAATACATTAGCTCCTGTTCATAGCACAGGTGAAGGTGGCTGTGAGAGTAAAAAATAGAGTCCAGCTGCTGTCTGTTTTGTTAAATCAATAAATATCACCTTTATAAAACAATTCCCAAGTTAATAAACACTTATTTTATAACATGCTTTTATTATGAAACTTTTGGTATGATTGTATGTGAGTCTAAAGTGTGTGAACAATTTTATGTCACTTGAGCCTTTAACCAAAGGTCATTTTCTGTCACTATGTGAAAGACAATAAAGTTTTTTGAATGTTGACTTTTAAGAATGGTCAGAGAGGTTGTATGATAAATGCTCGATTTCTGTCGTTAAGTCTTACTGGTTTAGTTTTTCCACGTTCTAGTTGTCAAACTTAGATCTCAGAAGGAGCAGTCGAAGAAAAAAAATAAAAAGAAATGTTAATAACCCTGCCACACTGACAGGCGAGCAAAGAAGCTTCATTTGCATGTCCGGCTTCTTCAAAAGTCAAAATGTCTCCTGTCAAAACGACCTGCAGGCATATCTTGTTTTGTTAAGCTGTGACCGTTTCTTAAGCAAACAAAGTTGGCCACCTAAGTCACATTTTAGTGACACAATTAAACATTGAATTTTAGTTTAACATATGAAACATGACAATATTATAAATATAAGGGGGGGGGGGTGAAATGAAGTGGTGAAAGATCCTACAACAACTTCTCGCTGCAACAAAGACATGAAAAGTGGGAAACGTGATAAAACCGTCTGTTGTGCAACCTATGTTGTTAGTTTGTCACACTATAAATACATGAATGAAATAACTGAAAGACGGGGTAAATTCAAATGATGTCCAACTAATAATTCTTGTCTTTAATTTAGAATAGAATAGAATTACTTTTTAATTACACACAATGTGAGTAAAAAACACAATGTTAGCAATCTAAACACAATATAATATTAAATACAAAGTCAATAAGTACTAAAAAATATCAAAAATAAGAATGAATGTGAATATATACAACCAGGATTTAACTAAGCATTACAAGCTTAACTAATTTAAGAGTTTTAACTCACTCCTCCAATGGTTCAAACTGGGATTACTTTTTTTTCCACCTAAAGTTAAGAAAGTTAAATCCTACTGTTTTGGACATCCTCTTAGTTTCAATTGTTTAACAGAAAATACCAAATTGTTTGTCCTTCACTGTCCCGTGTTCACTGAGGATTACCTGGATGACTTTAACCTTTCACCTAGTTTCTTCAATATTCCTAGAAAGTGACTTAAACACGGTTAATTGTAAATTATTCAGACTCTTATCATCTAGTTGGGTCGAATTAGCTGGTGAGTAACTAATAATCATGCTGTAATAATCTGCAGCAGCTGTAACCTAGCAACCGCTGTCATTAAGTCGAGCTGGCTAATAACTTATCAGTCAACTACACAAATGTTACGTTTTGTTGTTGTTGTTGTTTTCAGAGATTAGGAGTAACTATAAGAATCATAAGGTGATGTATGATTAGTTTACCTGAAGATGTGTTGAGTAGTTTGACCTCATGTGTTCTCCACATCCAGCCGTCTCTCCCCAGGACGGCGCCCAGAATGTTCCGCACTCTCCGGGCAGCAACGGCCGCTGCTGGGCCGCTACATAAAATCTGTGGGTGCATATTTATTAAACTAAACTAAAAACTACTTCCGTCCAAAAACATAATGTAGAATAAAGTCCACCGGCATCACAGTAAGAAACGTGCTGAGCTGTGTGGCCTTATTCCCATTTCATAACATCTGTCAGCTCATCTTGCCTGGAGCGGAAGATAATAAAAGAGGGACAAACGGGTCCGCGGTTAAAGTCTTCCGTAGTTGTTTCACGTTTTGTTGAGTGTTTCGTTCCGACAGAATGATTGAGCGTTGTTTAATTTATTTGCAACCCTAGGTTGGATAGAATAGTTGGATAAATATTGTTTAATAATAAGCCTTGATTCTTTATCGATTTAGCTTTTTTTTTTGTTATTTTTGAATAAATGGCTTCAAGCCCTGGGATGCTAGACTAGTTTTAGTATTTATATTTTAGATTGACATTACCTAGTTTAAATTGTCTTTTTTTGTAAATTATAACATACATTTCTTTTAATTAACATAAATAAAGTATTTTTGATTGATAAAATACTATAAGAATATACCTACACCCTTGTTCTTACCAAAATACCTTTGTATACATTTCCCAGTAGCCTATGTTTTCACATGTTTTCATTTATTTAATGTGTGCATATCTAATTTTAACAACCTCAGAGCAGACAGAGCCTCACAGCTCAACTGAGGTGACCATCTAGTGGGGCCCAGACCCCAGGTTGGGAACCAATGGCTTGGACCATGCAGGCCTATAGCACAAATGTGTGACAAATGTTGGTTTGCAAAAAAAAAAAGAAGAAGAAAATAAGAAAAAAAGAAACAGTCAATAAATATTTTGCCATTAAAACATGTGCCTTTACAGTTGATCAAATCAACGTTTTCGGGGCTCATAGACTATGTTAAAATATTATAATTTGAATGTCTTATTCTTGCTTGAGTGTGTTTGCAATGCTCTGTTTTTAACTGTGTAAAGCACTTTGAGTCTCTCTTTGTATGAGTTGTGCTCTATAAATAAACCTACATTGCCTTCTGAGATCCAAGAAAGTGTTCAGTGAAGAGTAAAAGGATCATAGATCCAATAATATGAAGAATGTGGACTATTGGAGAGCTCTACAGGCCTTATCATTAATTAGATTAGCAGAGTAAGTAGCCTACCCGAACCAATGACGTCATTGAAACGCTCACACATACATAAATCTACTCACGTGCACCCGCATAAATATACTCTACACACACTCCCTGTCACATACCCGAGCTGTGCGCGCCTGAGATCCCCTCCGGCACCGTGCCGCGCGCGTTTAAGCGGGTTTGACATCTATCACGTGGAGCGCTGATAGGCTCGGCCCTCCAAGGCACGAGCGCAGCGGAGGAGAGACGAACAGGCAGCACAGGAAGAAAGCAGCGGAGGAGGAGGTGGAAGGAGAAGCGAATCCCATCCCCTCAGAACGCATATGAGCGGAGTCAGGGCAGCGAGGCACGACTCCTTCTTCCCCTGATTCGGTTTCTTTCTCTCCCCGGAGCGCACTGAGAGGCTCTCCGCCGACCATGGAGGATGTGTACCCGTACAGCAGGAGCCCTGTCTGGGAGGAACTGGTTAGTAGCCTACAACTCAACAATGAAGACTTTTTAAATCACTTCTTTTTTTCCCCGAAGGAAAAAAAAAAAGCACAATTTGAGCTCTTTACTGAAATGCACTTGAGGTGTATTTAAGAGGTTTTGCTGACGCTGTTTTCACACTTTGGGGGGGTTCACCAGCCTGTGTTCGTATTTGACGTTTTACTCTAAATGTGCTGTGATTTGAGTGCTGTTCCGAAACCCGTTTGAATTTCATTGAAGGGTCTACTTTTCGTTATAGCCTCAGTGCTGCTATTTGCGAAAAGGGCAATGATGAGAAGTCTGTAACGATCTTTATCGATATGTTCCGATTCCTGAGGTGCTCTGGACTTATTAGTTGCGTTTATTCTAAAAAAAAAAAAAAAGAAAGCGTAAAAGAGGGGAGGGGGGGGACTCCTCTTTATATGTTTAAGGATACCCTGCCCATTTCCTTCAATCCTATTCCTGCATGTCGTGTTGCTCAATTCACTGGAGATTATTTGAAAACGTTCCTGCAGGATTTTTTTTTAGTATTTCATTTCTAAATTCACGTACAAAGTTTAATCTAGTAAAAGGAAGGAAAAAAAAGGGCTGTATATTGTTTTGGGTGGAAAACAAAAACTCCAATGATTGTTCTTTCTCTGGAGGCAGCAGTTTATTCTTGTGCATCCACATTTATCACCATAAATAACAAGAGTATGATGGGGTAATGCAATCTCCTTTATGCATTAGATTAAAGTGGGTTTAACTTGATTAAAGGAGATAGGCTATATCATTATCACTCTCCTGAGTGCATTTTATGAAGACTCAAAAGTGATATTATTTAGGCTACTTGTAAACGCACTTAGAACACAATTTTGAGTGTTATCGTCGCCTTGAAGGAGAAATGAGGCTGTATTCAAAAAGTAGTTGGGTCACACTTCTTGTATTTCCGTGGCACTGCCCGGATGCAGTCGCTAGGGTCTGCACGATGCCGCGGACATGTACCCTGGTTCTCGGGGTGATGAGGTGGTCTGTGGACTGGCTGTGCAGCCTGCAGCCACAACCAGCAGCCAGGGAGGCACTGGGAAAAGGGGGTGGGGGGTTGTTGTAGCCGACACCGTATGTGGAGCCCATCCCCTGTGCGTTCCCCCCAGCCCACACACACGCAAACACACACACACACACACACACACACACACACACTCGAGCAAACAGTCGTCTTTATTCGGGAGGTAGTGAGAGAGATGACAGCGAGGAGAGACGCTACACAGCCGCTCAGGAAGCCGCCGGGAGCGGAGGACCGAGCCAGCGCTAACCCCGACTGCTTTTCTCCTTCCCCTCGACAGGAGCCGGAAAAAGGGCCGGCGTCCGCGGCAGGAATCCATGCCCATGTGGTGGGGGCTGTCGCCGGCTCTGGGGCTGCGGACGAGTCCTCTGACAGCGACGCGGAGCAAGAAGGCCCCCAGAAACTCATCCGCAAAGTGTCCACCTCTGGACAGATCAGGAGCAAGGTAAGAAGCTGTGTCTCTGACTTAATGTGTTGTGTTGATGTTGTACAATCCGAGCTGCCTGTTGACTGAGCCACTCAGGAGAAGGCATGTGTTGTTGGAGCTTGTTGCTTGTAGCCAAAGGAAGCACTGTTGCTTCAAAGTCTTGGTGGCATTCACTGTACTTCCATGTCATGCTGTTACAGGAAAATACTTATGTAGGGCTTTTGTAGGCTTTTCTTCACACCACACAACCGCACAAGACTTTATCAAGTCTTTTGCAATGTGTTTAAACAAAGTAGCATCCTACACCTTGTGTGAAAGTAGAAGTTCTGTGCTTCCTTTCACAGCTCAGGGGCCTTGTGAAGTTACTAACAGCTGATGCATCTGTCTCTGTAATCCTGCAGTGCGCAGTATAGTACTTTTCATTTCAGAAGAAGTTAGTCTTGAGAATGGGCACAGAACACACTTTCCTCATCTTTTTATGTAACCTACCAGTGAAGTGAGGCAGCTGAAGTAATATCTCATGTTTGATGAATACAGTGTAAAGTGAACGATCCCCTGCACCCCTGCATCCGACCCCGTCTACGTCTGACTACGTAACAGGATGCTGAGCTGATTCTTACCTGTGACACCTTAGCTTTCTTGGCCCACTTATCCATTACTCTGTAAACGAGCGGCGTCCTCCTCTCACGCCAATGCATCCACTTAATTATTGACTGCTCCACTCCACGCTCCACTTACATTATTCAGCACGGGGATGTATTTTTAGCAACGTGGGGTCCAGGAATGTCTGGCCAAATCTTCTTTTTTTTTTTTTTTTTTTTATGCAAATGTCCCACATGAGTGAGTGTAGTTAGTGCTTTATAAAGCATGTGATGATAGGATATAACTCAGTTTATATTTATTTCTGAAATTGTAGGAATAAAAAACAACAAAGCTGGAGCGCTGACGCCTCGCAGAGGTTATAGTCCTCGTTGCGGCAGCTGTGGGTTCGAATCCGACCCCGGACCTCTGCATGTTTTGGGGCTTTTTGTGCCTTTAATGGAGAGATAGGACAGTGGATAGAGTCAGAAATCAGGGAGCGAGAGTAGGGACTGACATGCGGGAAAGGAGCCACAGGTGGGATTCGAGCCTGGGCCGCCCGCTTGGAGGAGCAAGGCCTCCATACATGGAGCGCGCGCACTAACCACTGCGCCACCTGCGCCATGTGATTAGATGATTTAATCTCAAAGCACGCCCCTCCTCGGCTGTCTGTCTTAATTTCCCGAAGCACTCTTTGTGGTGATTTCATTTTCCCTCACTGGAGTTGTTTTTTTTTTTTTTTTTTTTATTCCCCTGTTGCTTCTGAAGTTTCAGCAGAAGTTTCAAACGTGGGTGAACGTCGGGGGGTTGATATGAGTCGTGATGTACAGGGGTGCTTATTGCACCTGCAGGCCAGACTTAGAGCCCGTGCTACGGATGTAATCTGTTGTGCAGAACTATCGTACATGGTGGACAACATGACAACCTGCAATTAGCTCATGCCGCTATCACGATGCTTTGAAGCACTTTTCTGTAATTGTATCTTTGTGCTTAGCGTGTTGACATCGTGCTCACAGAGGTTTCTGAGTTGTTGCTGCGTGGGTCAGTGGGTTTTCTCTTTCCCACTGTGTGTGTGTGTGTGTGTGTGTGTGTGTGTGTGTGTGTGCTAAGAGTTGCTAATGGATCATGCAGGCATTGACTCACTGAGTGTTGTTCCACTGGTTTGTTTGCTCAGCTCTGGACTGTGTGTGTTATCTGTGTGTTGTGTTGTGTATGTGTGTACGTGCACATGCATGTGTACGCCCGACCCCTCGCGCTGTCCGAGTCCATCCCCTCTCCATCCACCTTCTCTCTGCTACTTCGGTTGCCACCGACAACCACATCTCTCGTCCCTCACTGAGCAGCTCCAATGGCGATGCCGCCTGTAAAACAGCTGGTTTGGTTCACAGCGACGAGTACGCTTAAAGGTCTCATCTGCTGTCTTCTTTCTGCTTTTTCTCCCCCCCCCCCCCCCACACACACACTTTATGTGTGTCCATTTTAGTTTGTCGGTAAATCAGCACACACGAGAAGTGAGAAGAAGAGTCCAG